TGGGGTTGAGGTAATGGAGTGAGTGTTGGGAATGGATGGGGTTGAGGAGATAAAGTCATACAGCATAGAAACAGACCCTTCAGTCCATACAGCCCATGCAGACCATAATCCCAAACTTAAGTAGTCCCACCTGCCTGCACTTGGCCCATATCCTCCCAAATCTTTCATAATCATTAACTTATCCAAATGTCTTTTAAACATTGTATCCACCACTTCCTCTAGTTCATTCCACACACGAACCACTTTCTGTATTAAAAAATTGCCCCTCATGTCTTTTTTAAATCTTGCTCCTCTCACCTTAAAAATATGCCCTCTGGTCTTTAACTCCCCCACCCTAGGGAAAAGACACCTGCCATTCACCTTATCTATAGGCCTCATGATTTTATAAACCTCTATAAGGTCACCCCCCCCACCTCCCAGTCTCCTACGTTCCACAGCAATATGTCCCCACCTATCCAGTCTCTCCTTATAACTCAAACCCTTCATTCCCGGCAACATCCTGGTAAATCTGTTCTGAACCTTCATTAGTTTAATAATATCATTCCTATAATCGGGCAACCAAAACTGAAAACAGTACTCCAGAAGAGATGAATGAGATGTTAAGTGGACATAGTGTTAAGATGGAATGAGTGTTCGGAATGGATAGAATTGAGCAGATTAAATGTATGTTGTACCAGAAAGTACAAAAGCTTCAGTTCCCTTCAGATTTGGGCTGGGTATTTTTTAAACGTGAATGTGGCTTGGTGCATATCCAACGAATCCAAATGTAGAATCTCAGCTCTCTGGATCTTTACCCAAACCTGCCCCCCACAGTAAGGCACTATATGGTGAGACTAAGGACCTGGAATATAAATCAAGGCATTTTTTACTTACACATACAAAGGGCTTTACTTTAGTACAGGGGAACCAACCAATCTCATTTGTAGATGTGTTCCTTCCCTAATACCAGTGAAAGAAAAACATTCATTAAATCTTTGTTTTGAAATTTTAAATTTTGAATATATATTTTGAATTTATATTCATATGTTCACATTACACTGTGTTAATCATTTTCAAAGCAATTATATAAAAGCAAAATACTGTAGGTATGGATATCTGAGGAGAACTCAGGAGTTTTGAAGAAGAGTCATGCCAGACATGAAACGTTAACTCTGTTTCTCTCGCCACAGAATCTGCCAGGCTTGCTGAATTTCTCTCGCACTCTGTGTTTGTTTCAAACCAATTGTAGGTTGAAATTGAGACACATTGATCTTTTCCCTTGTGGAGAGAGTTTATTGGCTCCCTCAGTCTTATACCTCCCATCCCACACCCAGTGTTCTGGGTGCAGCCTTTATATTTTCTTATTTATTTCCTAAATGACCTGTTTGGAGATGTTACTACAGGTGGTACACTATATATACTCCTATAACACTATAGTTGCATTCGTGTGTGACTTCGCACTATAGAGAGTAGCCATAGAAAATCGCGTTATAGGGAAATCGCTATACTGTGCAGTAGAAAGTTTGCATTATCCAAACAGCATCCACTGTTCATCAACCGAGTTACAGCCAATTTGCATTAACGACTCACATGTTACAGCAGAAATATCTGTGCACACCTTTACAGCAAGGAGGACTTGAACCTGGACCAGAGGTAAAGACACTACCACTACACCACAAGAACCTTGTCTTCCCTTTATGTTGTTCTCAGGCTATTATTAACAGCCATCTTTCTTAATTTTACTTTATTTTATTATTATGCATGACTTCTGTCATTGATGTAGGTGCTGTGGTGGGACGATGTATATAACTTTTAACTGTATTTTTCACATAAATATACATGAGACAATAAATTTCTATTCTATTCTATTCTATTGTCATGAATGTGATTAAACTTTTTGATTGCACCAAAGAGCAGAATTCCTGTCCAACAGAAAACCCCTCTCAGGTATTAACCTTAATAAAATCACTGCTGGATGTTTATAAGCAATCTCAAATCATCTGCATTAATTTTCACTGTTAAACCCAGATTTCCCAAAGTTGTGCGGCAGGATATTCAGCAATAGAGGGTGTTTGCCTTTAATATCTCGCTCAGAAATTCCCCAGGAGTGGAATCATTTGGTGATTCTTTTCCCTTCCCCTCTGAATGCTGGCAGTATGGATTATGTTGAGTATTCATTTCTCATCACTTTAACTATAAGCTTTGTTTGAGTTGGATATAGGTGGTTAGGTTCAGAGTTGTACTGCATGTGAAAACTCTGGAACTCTTGGTTTTTAACTGGGAGCACTCTGATCTCTAACCGGAGCACTCTGGTCTCTAACTGGAGCACTCTGATCTCTAACTGGAGCACTCTGGTCTCTAACTGGATACTCTGGTCTCTAATTGGGAGAAATCTGGTCTTTAACTGGGAGAACGCTGGTCTCTAACTGGGAGAAATCTGGTCTTTAACTGGGAGAAATCTTGTCTTCAACTGGGAGCATTCTGATCTTTAACTGAGGGGATTCAGGTCTTTAGCTGGGAGAGATCTGGTCTTTAATTGGGAGAACGCTGGTCTTTAACTGAGAGAAATCTGGTCTTTAACTGAGAGAAATCTGGTCTCTAACTAATGGAACTCTGGTCTTTAACTGGGAGAACTCTGGTCTTTAACTGGGAGAAATCTGATCTTAATAACTGGGAGAAATCTGGTCTTTAACTAGGAGCATTCTGATCTTTAACTGAGGGAATTCAGGTCTTTAACTGGGAGAAATTTGGTCTTTAACTGAAGTCGGCATCACATTCAGAACAGATGTGGAATACCACAACGGGCATCAGTGCTAATATTGGGAATATTGGCCAGGGTTTCTATTCCTCATTGCGATATGCTTCCTGTCCAAAGTGCAATAAAATGTTGTTGTTTGATGGTCTGAAAGATTTAAAAAAAGCCCAACTGATTGCAACAGTAACTGACATGCAATATTTGTCGAACAGAAGGAAGCCATTCAGCCCATCATGGTTGTGCCAGTTCTTCGAAAACTAGCAGGAATATTAAAAAAAATGACAACCATGTGAAAAGCTATAATATTACCGGGACGACACAGATCAGTTTGTGCAACTCACCTCCCACCACTGCTGCTCCACCTCTGCTTTGGTGAGTTCGATGATATCCCCTAAGAGCAACTTCAAAGCAGGTCCGAAAGCCACTGGTGGAGGAGGCATCCCAAAATATTCTTGGCAGACTTCTGTTTTGGGTAAACCTGAGACAAGGCGATAGGAGATGAAAACCCTTCAAACCTCTCAGTAGATTGCCAACTACACAATGTGTCAAGTTTTATCTTCCTCTCAATCATTCTTTTCCTCCCATTAACCTTTAATGTCCTTTAATACTGATTGAAAGAAAAATGGCTACAATCCAGCTTTTGATTAACAACCACATTTCAGAGGGCTCAATTATATGCTCCCGCTCAAAATGTGAATATTTTGTGCCATTGATATATTCAGAAGTAATATTATTTATGAATTATTGCCACACAATGATTTTTTTTATATTCTGCATTTTCTAGGACATTTTGCAATATAACTCCCTACAAAAGAAATGTCTTTTTTTTCCAGCAATCTCAACTTCTGAGCTGCTTAAGAATGACTTGTGCCCTGATTTAACAATGCTGTAGTCATCATTCCTCCAACTTTTGTCTGTTCTTTGCAAAATGCAAATTTCCCATTTTCCACTCAGCTGGATTCCAAGATGTACAGAGATCAAGATTCATTGTTCTATTTCCTATTTTATTTATGCTGTTGTAATATTTCTGAAGAGGTTGGCACATCTGACAGAATAGGGCTTCACTGAAGCACATCTGGGCATATGAGACAGATAGCCCAGAGTCAGCAAGATTGCCGTCTCTCAAGAATGTGCATACTCATCACTAGAACTTTGATCGCAATGATGGGAGATTATAACTACCTCAGGTTCTCACTTTGTGATGTAACTTATTCCCTCCAGGAAGCTCAACAGTTATGGAGTATTCCATCCTGACCACATGAATTTCATTCAAACTCCAATTTGCTTTCCCCAACAAAAATGGCCAGCTACTTTTGCACAGTAAAAACAAACTTCATAGCTAACTTAAGACAAACAGAAATTCAAACTGCTTCAAGACTTGGGCTCATAAGTACCAAATAACATTCACGGCAGGTAAGGACCATCTCCAAGGAAAGAGAATCTAACCATGACCCTTTCACATTCGATGCTATTATCATCAATGAATCCCTCAGTATCAACATCCTGGCAGTTCCCATTGACCAGAAACTGAACTGGACCAGCCACGTAACTACCATGGCTATAAGAGCAAGTCAGAGGCTAAAAGTAACTCACTTCCTGACTGCCCAAAGCCTACAAGACACAAGTTTGGAATGTGAAGGAATACTGCCCACTTGCCTGGATGAGTGCAACTCCAATAACACTCAAGAAGCTTGACACTGTCCAGGACAAAGCAGCCCACTTGATTGGCATCACATCCACAAGCATCCACTCCCTCCACCACTAATGCTCAGTAGCAACAGTGTGTACTATCAATGAAGAACTGTAGAAATTCTGCAAGCCTCTTTAAGCAGAAATCTCCAAATCTGTCACCTTTACCACTAGAAGGACAAGGGCAGCAGATACATGGGAACACTACCACCTGCAAGTTCCCCTCCGAGCTGCTCACCATCCTACTTGGAAATATTTCACTGTTTGTTCAGTGTCACTCAAAATGCTGGGACTCCCTCCCTAATAGGTTGGCACAACATTGTGGGCCAAAGGGCCTGTACTGTACTGTTCTATGTACTAATGGCATTTTGGGTCAACCTACAGCACACGGACTGTAGCGGTTCTAGAAGGCAGTATAGCACCACCTTCTCAAGGGGCACCTAGATATGGGCAATAAATGCTGGCCCCAGCTAGTGATGCCCACATCCCATGAAAGGACAGAAGAAAACATGGCCTCTCTCCCAGCGACATTAGCTAGTTTATCACAATTCAGATTGTATCTCAATCAGATTTCTTGTAATATTTGCAAAATGTTTTACCCGCTGCTTTCTGTTCACTCCAGAGCTTGCTGAATTTACAAATATTTTATTCCAATTATGTGATGCTCTAAGGTGCTTTAAGCAAACTGGATAAGATGCTTACCTGTTTTAGCTGCACGACTTGGGGCAATTCTGTTACTTTTACTCTGCAGAGGAGAATATTTTGCATTTAATTTATTAAGTGGCAGATCTAATATTATTAATCGTAAGATTAATAATAATATTTGTTGTGATCCCAGTTAATGCTAATACTGGACAAGTCGTATCCCAGACTGAAATCTGGCTAGATAGATCATTATTTTTGTTTTAATTTGATGGTCTTTCACTGAAACAAAAGCTCAAAATGTTGCAGATTTATTTCTTTAGCAGTAAAAGAGAAATTTATTGAACAAAAGAAATGAAGATAAAACCAAATTATTTATGTATAACGCAACTCTAAAAACTTGAAACACAAGTTAAGAATAAAATCCCATTCATCCTAAAGTGCTCACACCAGAAAGAACTCTCAATCACGCCATGGGGTTTAATTCAACAACCAAAAGAACTGCAGATGCTGTAAATCAGGGACAATAACAGAAGTCACTAGAAAAGCTCAGCAGGTCTGGCAGCATCTGTGAAGAAAACGATCAGAGTTAACGTTTCTTCACAGATGCTGCGAGACCTGCTGGGCTTTTCCAGCAACTTCTGTTTTTGTTGGGCTTAATTTAACATTGGCTTCAACTCCCAGCTTTGAGAATATGACAACCACTTCTTGGAGCTTCTATGCAATTGAGCTTAACTTTTGTCACCTTCGAGTAACCACTTCAGGGTTTTACGCAAACACCTCTGGTCAGGAACACTTACTAAACTCCTTACACTGAGATAACCTATTTTAACAAATTTAAACTATTTTCTCCCTTTCTCTAGTTTCAGCCAAGAACCCTGAAAAACGGACCCAAACTGAAATTAAAATGTTTTTTTCTTCCCATACCATGGGTGTTATCCCAAGCCCAAGAAAGTCCAGAATCTTCTATCTGAAAGCCTATTGTACCATATTGTTTATTCAGTCATGAATTCTTCCATTGGAAACAAACAAAACTTTCCAGGAAGTGTTCTTTCTCTCTCTCTCTCTCTTTCTCAACTTGAGTTTTGAGATAAATCACCATGGCTACAGAAATACTGACAAGTTAATTATTAAACTTCATTATACACAGAGAAAACACTTATGCCATAAGTTCAAATTTAAAAAATCCAAACTCAAAAATGAATTATATTGAAAAATATAAACATCAAAAACCTTACATTAATAATAATACAAAGAAGGTTTTTGGGTTCTTTGAAGAGTGTCACACCGTTTATTCCATTGTAGCTCCATTGCTCCACCATTTACTGCAAAACTGCCCCCCTTCCAAGCCACCCATTTACTGGTGCCCTATGTGACATTTTCCCAGGTGACCACTCCTGGTACCTTGTGGTATTTGCCACCTCTACCTGTGTGCAATACTGGCTGAGTGTTTTCTGTGGTAGTTCACTGACACCAATCCTCATCTGTCCTTGCTTTGCCTTAGACATATCCTGTGATTAGTGATACACGATACACTGCCACAGAGAACCCACAGAAGGGCCTGTTCTTAGATAGTAAGAAGGTGTATTGTACAACAGCAATATGTACAACCACTTTTGTTCAGGGGTAATGACTAGGGCATTGGGGATTTGGTACAGATCCATCTGCTCCCTCTGAAACCTAGAGTGTCCCCACCCACAGACTGAGAGCAACATTGGAGAATGAGTGGAACCAATGGAACAAGAACATTAACCCCTTCAGAACCATTATCTTTACAACACCTCCCTCTAAAATGACCAGATAATCTATTTAATCTCACCAGCCTCTTGATGGTTTCACATTATTTGCAGTAAAATACATAATAGAAGCAACAAATACTAAGTTAGAAATTCACAAGTACCTTGGTCAAAGTTGATGATCCACTATCTGTAAATAAACAACACGATATTTCTGATATTCCTGATCATGAACACCCTGACCAATGATTATCTCTTCAACTAGACAATCTTTATTACTATGATCTCTATGACTCTATAGATGTGCACTTGCAATGCATAGACAGACAAGGCTATGGACCAAGTGCTGGAAAATGGGTTTAGAATAGTTAGGTCGTTAGTTTTAATCAGGTCAGAAGTCACACGATGCCAGGTTATAGTCCAACAGGTTTATTTGAAATCACAAGCTTTCAGAGTGCAGCCCCTTTGCCACTCCACCTGATGAAGGAGCAGCGCTCCGAAAGCTTGTGATTTCAAATAAACCCTGTTGGACTATAACCTGGTGTCATGTGTCCTCTGACCCAGTCCAACACCGGCACCTCCACATCATGGTTTTGACCAGTGCACACACACTGGGTCTTTCCCATGCTGGAGATCTCAATGATTCTGTCTAATATTGGCTACAGCACCAGGAAGACGTCCTCTTCCAATGTATCTGTTCCAACCACAAGGGCAAACAGTATCCCAGTGTGATGCCTCTACCAAAGACCAGCACCTCTGACAATGCAGCACTCTGTGGGTACTGCACTGGAGTATCTGCGGTATAGATGTCGTGTTCAAATCTCTGGAGTAGGACTTGAATCCTACAACAACTGATGCCAGGGGGGAGAGTGTTATACCTGTGAGGCAAACTAGACAATAGTGGTAAGCCCCCAGCCCATTTGCAAATCTGACAATATCAGGAGGTTGAAAACAAAAAAAAGCTGGAGATCACAACGGGTCAGGCAGCATCTATGGAGAGAGAAATCAAGCTAACATTTCAAGTCTATACAGCTCTTCATCAGAAACGTTAGCTTGCTCTTTCTCCACAGATGCTGCCGATCCACTGTGATCTCCAGCATTTTCTGTTTTCAGTACAGATTCCAGCATCTGCGGTATTTTGCTCCTACAATAGCAGGAGGCTGTTTGTTACAGCAACAGCTCACCATCACTCCCGATCAGGTTAAAGGGGTTAGATTGGCCAGACCTTTAGACCCACTAGGCAAATGATTTGATATAAGAGGACAATGTGAATAAGATAAAGAACTGTGGATACTGGAGATCTGAAACAAAAAGAGAAATTGCTGGAAAGACTCATCATGAAGAGTCACTGGACTTGAGACGTTAACTCTACTTTCTCTGCACAGATGCTGGCAGACCTGCTGAGTTTCGCCAGCAATCTTTGTTCCTATGTTACAACACATCGTCTTACCTTGCCTTCCACATGGAGAGACCCTCCCTAAACATTCTTTGTGAGCCGCAGACTTGCACTTGCTGCAACGATAACCCTGGAAGAAAGTGCCCCTGTTGGATGACAGGACAGAGAGACACCGTTGATTTTGGACCAGTGTCATTGTTAAACATGCAGACCTTGATTAGATCATAAAGAGTTCTGGGCATCCATATGACAAAAAAGATACACAGGCAAGTGCAGGAAAAGATTAACTGAGAGGTTCTGCTCATTGGGAAAGCTTGGGCTCCCTTCTCAAGAAATAAGGCTGACACTCAATGGTTTGACTGGAAAGCTGCGTATCAGAGCGTGCGCGGTCGCTGGGCTACCCAGGGCTAGCCTTGGCAACAAACATAGATACATAAAACATACCTTTGTAATACGCAGAGTTACTGCAGGTGGCGATAGTGAGCAGTACGGCTCACCATTCTTCTATCACACCACCTGCAGGAATCAGGCTCACTCACAACTTCAGCAATCCCCAACCTCCAATTTTCTTGATAACATTTACATTCCATTGATATTATGGTGATTGTAACGAGGTCAGCTAGGTGGCCATCATAGAATATGAGTTCCCTGACTGGGGCTGTTAATCTGGCCCAATCAGGGAGCCCTGGCTGACAGATATAAACAGGAGAGTCTGGGGTTCTGTTCACTCTGAGAGCTGGCTCTGAGGGAGCTGGGTCTGTGTTAAGGTCATGCCACGTGTAAATAAAGGGTGACTTGGTGATGGGATACCATCCTCTGTGGAGGTATTTCAGACACTATAATATTTCTCCCTTGTTATTGTAGAGTAAACATTTGCACAATGCATTTTTAAAATATCTGATTATTTGGAGAATCACCGGAACTCTAAGACATAAAAGCATCTTTTAAAAGGATTGCCTTTACTCTGTCGGTTTTGCTTCTGCAAATGAACCAACCAGGTCCTCACTGCAAATCTCAGCATGGGTCAGCAGGAAGGGAGCTGGGAACACCCTGCAGCCGTGAGGAAGGTGGTGAGATGGGTTCAGATCAGGCTAGCCCAGCAGGACTGCCTATTACCACTGTCAATGTTAACCTTTATCATCCAGACCCATACCTGAGTAACATCTGGCATGCCTTGCATGTCGCTGACTCTTCAAATGAGTGCATCTGAAAATCGTGGTTGTTTGAACTCCCATTCTCCGGGAAGATGTTCGATCTAAGAAACAGTTCACAATCAGAAACTTGGAAGCTGGAGTAGGCCATTCGGCCCTTTGAGCCCGCTCCGCCATTCAATATGATCACGGCTAATCCTCTATCTGAGCTCCATATGCTGGCTTCTGCCCTATACCCCTTGATGCCTTGAAAACCTAAAACAAAAATCAATCTCTTCCTTGAGCACATTGAGTGGTTGGCCTCAACATATTTCTGTGGTAGAGAATTCCACATGCTCACTACCCTCTGATTGAAGAAATGTTTCCTCATCTTAGTCTTCAGTGGTCTACCCCATGTCCTGGAACTGTACCCCATGTCCTGGAACTGTACCCCCTGTATCTAGATTCCCCAACCAGGGAAAGCATCCTCCAACCCGTCTGTCCAACCCTGTTAGAATTTTATATGTTTCAATTAGATCCCCCCCTTATCCTTCCAAACTCTAACTTAGAAGGGAAGCTGATAAATGTATTGGAACTCTTCCAATATTGGTCAACAATAACAACACATTGAGTTTATATGTCATCTTAAATGTTAGAAAATACCTAAAGACATTTCACAGGTCTGCTATAAAGCAAAGTCCAAGGCATTTAAGGTGAAATAGGGGTCAATGATTAAAAGCTCAGTCAAGGTACACATTCCTGTTCCTGTACATTAGACCAATCACATTTTAGACTTGAAATGCCAGCGCCTCATGGAGTGGATTCCTGTGAGCTGAGGGCTTCTCAAAGTGCAAGGTCATGATTGGAATTTCAAGGTCGCGAGAGGGCAATGGGCAGCGTGACTGAATGAGAACAGCTGAGCTGAGGCTCTCTAACAGACTTACACACATCCAGCCCCTTTCCCTGCCACTCACTCTTGCAGGTGACCCCTTCACCTCCACTCTCCCCTTCTACGCCAAATCTCCTCGGATCTCATTCAGGGCTGTGACAATCTTCACTCCTCAAACTGGGGTCACAGCGGGGAATGGTTTGGGAAAAGTGCCTCATGTGGCCAATGGACTGATACATTGCTACGTTGTACCTAACTGTAATGAAGCAGTGAATGTGGCAGCTCGCTCTATGTAGTCACATCATAATTAGATCCTAGCTCTTTACAAATGATGTAAACTAGAAACAATAGGTTTTAGGGAGCTTCTGAGATGTGGAGAGGTTTGAGTAAGGAAATTCCAGAGTTTCAGACCCAGGCAGCTATAGACACAATAACTAATAGTTAGGCAATTAAACTATATTTTTAATCTCTGGGATTCTTCCCTCAACTACATTGTCTCTGTCTCCTCCCCGAAGACCATCTACCAAGATTTGAAAGCACACCCACAGCTTGCTTCTGTGTGTAACATTAAGGAATAGGAATAGGCTGTTCACCCCCTCAAACTTGTTCCACCACATTATAGCTTAACCTTATCTACCATACTTTTGCTCCACACCCCTCAATACCCTTCTCCAAAAATCAATCACATACTTGAAAGTTCTGATTGTTCCTCCAGCAATTACAAAGAGTTCAAAATTTCTGCTACGCTTTGTATAAGGTTTGGCTCTTAAATGGCAAGCTGTAATCCTTTGACTTTGTCCCTTGATTCTTCCCAGAGACAAAATAGCCTTAAGTATCTACCTGATTGAATCCTGTTGTGAAGTACACTCTGCAACCCTCTACATTCAAAGATTCCTAGCAAAAGTCATGCAATGTACAATAACTTTGTTGATTATGTCCAGAGGTGTGGTACTCAAACAGAAGTGGCAATCCAGGTCCAAGCTAATGTATGGCCTGGTTTTGGGATGCGGTAGGGGGAGGGGAGATTTTGAAGCTTGTGAAATTGAGCAATTTTTCCGCCGCCTCCGCCTCCACGCATACTTCTTCAACCGTGAGCCTAACCCTCCCTCTACTGACCCCTTCTCCCGCCTTCAACACACCCCCTCCTCCTGGACACCACCCCAAGGCCTCCTACCCTCTCTTGACCTCTTTATCTCCAACTGCCGTCGAGACATCAATCACCTCAACCTCTCCACCCCTCTCACCCACTCCAACCTCTCCCCCACAGAACGTGCAGCCCTCCGCTCCAATCCCAACCTCACCATAAAACCCGCGGACAAGGGAGGCGCAGTTGTAGTATGGCACACTGACCTCTACATCCCCGAGGCCAGACGCCAACTCTCCGACACCTCCTCCTACCGCCCCCTTGATCATGGCCCCACCCCCGAGCACCAAACCATCATCTCCCAAACCATCCACAACCTCATCACCTCAGGTGACCTCCCACCCACGGCCTCCAACCTCATCGTTCCCCAACCCCGCACCGCCCGCTTCTATCTCCTTCCCAAAATCCACAAACCTGAATGCCCTGGTCGACCCATTGTCTCCGCCTGCTCCTGCCCCACCGAACTGATCTCCAACTATCTGGACTCCATTTTGTCCCCCTTGGTCCAGGAACTCCCTACCTGTCCGTGACACCACCCACGCCCTCCACCTCCTCCAGAACTTCCAATTCCCCGGTCGCCAACACCTCATCTTTACCATGGACGTCCAGTCCCTCTACACCTGCATTCCCCACACAGATGGCCTAAAGGCCCTCCGCTTCTTCCTGTCCTGCAGGCCCGACCAGTCCCCCTCCACTGACACCCTCATCCGCTTAGCCGAACTTGTCCTCACCCTCAACAACTTCTCTTTCAATTCCTCCCACTTCCTACAGACAAAGGGGTGGCCATGGGTACCCGCATGGGCCCAAGCTATGCCTGCCTCTTTGTAGGTTACGTGGAACAATCCCTCTTCCGTACCTACACTGGCCCTAAACCCCACCTCTTCCTCCGTTACATTGATGACTGTATTGGCGCCGCCTCGTGCTCCCACGAGGAGCTCGAACAATTCATCCACTTCACCAACACCTTCCACCCCAACCTTAAGTTCACCTGGACCATCTCTAATACCTCTCTCTCCTTCCTGGACCTCTCTGTCTCCATCTCGGGCAACCACCTAGAAACCGATATTCATTTCAAGCCCACCTACTCCCACAGCTACCTAGAATACACCTCCTCCCACCCACCTTCCTGCAAAAATGCCATCCCCTATTCCCAATTCCTTCGCCTCCGCCGCATCTGCTCCCAGGATGAGGCATTCCACTCCCGTACATCTCAGTTGTCCTCGTTTTTCAAGGACCGCAACATCCCCCCCTCAGTGGTCGAGAACGCCCTCAACCGTGTCTCCCACATTTCCCGCAAGTCATCCCTCACAACCCGTCCCTGCAATAAGAACCAAAAAAGAATCCCCCTCGTCCTCACGTACCACCCCACCAACCTCCGGATGCAACGCATCATCCTCCGACACTTCCACCATCTGCAATCTGACCCCACCACCAAAGACATCTTTCCCTTCCCACCGTTATCTGCTTTCTGGAGGGACCACTCTCTCCGTGACTGCCTTGTCCGCTCCACACTCCCCTCCAGCCCCACCACACCTGGCACTTTTCCCTGCAACCGCAGGAAGTGCTACACCTGCCCCCATACCTCCTCCCTCACCCCCATCCCAGGCCCCAAGAAGACTTTCCACATCAAGCAGATGTTCACCTGCACATCTGCCAATGTGGTATACTGCATCCGCTGTACCCGGTGTGGCCTCCTCTACATCGGGGAAACCAAGCGGAGGCTCGGGGACCGCTTTGCAGAACACCTATGCTCGGTTCGCACTAAACAACTGCACCTCCCAGTCGCAAACCATTTCAACTCCCCCTCCCATTCCTCAGACGACATGTCCATCCTGGGCCTCCTGCAGTGCCACAACAATGCCACCCGAAGGTTGCAGGAACAGCAACTCATATTCCGCTTGGGAACCCTGCAGCCCAATGGTATCAATGTGGATTTCACAAGCTTCAAAATCTCCCCTCCCCCTACCGCATCCCAAAACCAGTCCAGCTCGTCCCCGCCTCCCTAACCTGTTCTTCCTCCCACCTATCCCCTCCTCCCACCTCAAGCCGCACTCCCATCTCCTACCTACTAACCTCATCCCGCCCCCTTGACCTGTCCGTCCTCCCTGGACTGACCAATCCCCTTCCTAACTCCCGACCTACACTCACCTTTACTGGCTCCATCCCCACCTCTTCGACCTGTCTGTTTCCTCTCCACCTATCCTCTCCTCTATCCATCTTCTATCCACCTCCCCCTCTCTCCCTATTTATTTCAGAAGCCCCTTCCCCTCCCCCATTTCTGATGAAGGGTCTAGGCCCGAAACGTCAGCCTTTCTGCTCCTATGATGCTGCTTGGCCTGCTGTGTTCTTCCAGCTCTGCACCTTGTTGTCTCGGATTCTCTAGCATCTGCAGTCCCTACTATCTCTAATGTGTGGCCTCTTGTTTTTGGCATTCTTGTCTGATTTTATCACCTTTATGTTTCATGGCAGTCCGTAACCACCTTTTTGCACAACATACTGAGACAATTCTATGGCCAGGCCCCGTTCGCTCATCAATCTTCCAGATGGTAAACTTACAAAGCCATCTCAAACTGCTCCAGCCATTTCTTTTTCAGCTCCCTGGTCTTGAAGAAGAACTCAAAGCCATGTTGGCCATGAGCCTCAATTATTAGGAACATATGGCTCCACTAGAAAGATACAGAGAATGGGGTCAGGTATTAGTAAAACTTGCAGTTACAGAGAAGACTTTCACATTAAGTTAATTAATCACATCACTATTAATTGCTTCCAAATGCATTAACTGTGGCACGAGATGTATTTGCTTGTCAAATTCTCTGTCCAGAGAGTAGTCATTATTAGACCTTAAGAATCCATAAGATGTAGGAGCAGAAGTAGGCCATTCAGCCCATCAGTTCTGCTCCACTATTCAATGAGATCATTGCAGATCTGATAATCATCAGCTCCACTTGCCTGCCTTTTCCCCGTAATCCTTACTTAGTCCCTTACTGATTCAAAAACTATCTACCTCAACACTGAATGTACTCAATGGCTCAAAGAATTGAACAGATTCTCTACCTTCTGCGGGAAGAAATTCCCCATCATCTCTGTCTTACTCTGAGATTCTGCCCTCTAGTCCAAGGGTCTCTCTCTCGAAGAGCACCAATGTCTCAGCATCGACCCTGTGAAGTCTTCAAAGAATCTCGAAAGTTTCAATAGGGCCGCCTCTCATTTTTTTAAACTCCAATGAATACAGATCCAATCTACTCAACCTCTCCTTATGCAACAGGCCATCCCTACCCAGGATCAAACTAGTGAACCTCCAGTGGTACACCTCCAATGCATGTATACGTTTCCTTAGATAAAGGGACCAAAACTGTTCATGGTATCTCAGGGTCTGACTGACTAGTACCTTATATAGCTGCAGCAAGACTTCTCATTTTTACACTCTATCCCTTTGACCAGTTATTGCTCAGTTACTCTTTACTGTTGGCTGACATTGGTTAAGGAAGGAATATTGGCCAGGATTAAGGCATAATTCCTTGTCTTTCTTCATATAATGTACTGCAACAGGAGTCAGTTAATGAAAAACAGGGGCAGGGGGAAGTCTTTTAAGTCTGCTACGTTATTCAGTGAGATCGGAGCTGATATTCACCCTCAATTCCACTTTCTGCTATCACCTCATTTTCAAGTAGCTAAAAATCTTAACAACCTCAATCTTCAAATATTCAATGAGTGCACATCCACGGACTCTAGGATGGGGACTTCGGAGGAAATTTCTGCACATTTCAGTCCTAAATGGTTAACCCTGAATTCTAGATAGTCCACCTAGACAAAGAACCTGGTTTGGAAGTTTCATTTGAAGGTTGGCACCTCTAACAATGACCAACTTTTCCACTAATCGTCTCTAAACTTCTTGTTTTTTACCTTAAAATTATGCCATTCATTGTTGACCCCTCTACTCATGGGAAAGGATTCTCCTTGTCTATGACTCTCAGGACTTTGTACACCTCAGTCAGGTCTCACCTCAGCCTTCTCTGCTCTGAGGAAAACAACCCCAGCCTATCTAGTCTTTCTCCATAACTGAATTGCTCCAACCCAAGCAACGCCTCCGCATCCTCTCTAGCGTAATCACATCCTTCCTTTAGTGCGGTGACCAGAACTGCAGACAGTACTCCAGGCAGGCCTAGCTCAATCAGAGCCTCCCTGCTTCGCCATCAGAACATCCTTCCTGTGCCTGAGCCTAGATCGTCAGTAAGTGGAGCATATGAACAGCCACAGCATTGCCTGGTGTACACTTACCAGTTTACCAGCTAGTGGAACAACTAAAGATGCTGACTCAGGATGATTTATCACTGAGGACACCCACCATGGCGGAATATCTATCTAGCCATAAAAAGCACAAGGTTGCTGAGAATTTATGTGCCATACGTGTACCTTTTTGGTTTCTTTGCTTCCCATTGGGTCATCCCTTATCTGATAATACTGTAGGTCAATGACTTCTTTCATTTCATAATTCTCTCCTTTGCGTTTGCAGATAATAACAGCTTTATCGAATAAGAACACATATCTGTACACAAAACAGTAGAGCATCATTAGTTGCTGCATGGCATTCACTGCTAAAGCAGGAACACTTATTGTACAATCATAGTTATATCTATTGTTATGAACATACAATTACTATTAGCTCAGTTCATTCATAGATTCTACTTTATTACAATGCAAGAAGAATGGAATGAAACAAGAGGCCATTCAGCCCATCTTCTTGAGTTCTCTGCCCAAAGCCTAATCCAAACCACAATTCCCCCATCATATATAGGGCAAGGAGGCAGCTCCTGAATTCAGGACAGTCACAACAGAAATCCCATCTTATCCAAGGAATGATGTTCTAGCTGTGGAGGGAGTGCAATGGAAGTTTACCAGACTGATTCCTGGATGGTAGGACTGATGTACGAAGAGAGACTGGATTCGGTAGGACTATATTCGTTGACGTTTAGCAGAATGAGGGATGATTTTATAGAAATATACGAAATCCTAGACAGGGTAAACACAAGAAGGATGTTCCTGGCAACGTCCAAAACCAGAGGGTCACAGTCTAAGGATAAGGAGTAGGCCATGTGGGACTGAGACGTGTCCTGAAATATCTTTACCCAAAGAGTGGGGCGCCTGTGGAATTCTCTGCCACAGAAAATGACTGAGGTCAATACATTGAATGTTTTCAAGAAGGAGATCGATATCGTTCTTGGGGCTAAAGGCATCAAAGAATATGGAGAGAAAGTGGGAACAGGGGATTAACTTGGAAGACCAGTCATAATCATACTAAATGATGGAGCAGGTTCAAATGGCTGAAAGGCTTATTCCTGCCCCTATTTTCTATGTTTCAATGAACTCTGTACTATTGGCACTAATTTGATCAAGACTGGCCATTCAGCTGACCGAGTCGACCCTGTAGCTGTGGCAGAAGGGAGGCAATGGCCTAGTGGTATTATCACTGGGCTATTACTCCAGGAACCCAGGTAATGTTCTGAGGACCTGGGTTTTGAATCCCACTGTGGCAGATGGAGGAATTTGATTTCAATAAAAATCTGGAATTAAGATTCTAACAATGACTGTTGGAAAATCCCAGCTGGTTCACTACTGTTTGGTCTACATGTGACTCCAGACCCACACAATAATGTGGTTGACTCTTAACTGGGATGGGCAATAAATACTGACCTAGCCAGTAATGCCCATATCCTGCAAATAAAAAAAATACACTTTTAGTGGCATGTTGCAAACCAGAGCTATGGATAGTCATGGTAAACTTTGCCCCCAAAATTCTCCGGAGTATTTTATCATCTTCAGCTGTGTCTTCAAAGAAGAAGGAGCACTCACCGATCCTGCTTGGAGCGTTTGTCCACAGTCATTAAACGTAGTTCTCCGTCTATTTTGGGTCGGCCGTAACCAGCCAGTGACTGGTTCTAGGATATGACAGAACAGTTAATATAAAATGACAGACAGATACTTCTTTTCAATGAAACGTAGTTTTCTCAAATAAAGAGATAGCTGTGCTCTGACTGATTCCTCTATTGTCTTGCTGAAGGTCATTGATCACAATCGCATCAGAGGTCTGTTTTAGCTGGTAGGGGTTGTTGAACCCAGTTGAACTGGAAATTACCACGTTCTCAGTGAGTAACTGACTCTCTCAGCTGCATGATTACTGGATTGTGTAACAGAACTGGAAGTGGTCGTTGAATATGCAGTCTAGTTGACTCAATACCACAGCATGCTTAGTGTTCAGACACTCAACCCCTTTGAGGAGCCAAGATCGCAGTTTCTTCCAAGAAACCATACTGAATCATCGGGCAGAAAGAAAGGCCATTTGGCCTGCTGTGATTGTGCTAGCTCTTTGGTAGAGCTTTCCTATTGGGTCTCCTGCTCCTTCAACACTTTCACAACACAGACTGGCTTTGAAATATTTGACCATTGCTAGTGTTGGACCAACTCCGAAACACATATGTAACCGCTCTGGCACAGGCTTTTCAACGGTCTCTACTTCAGACACCTGAGATTGTCAAATCTATCTCTTTCTCTCGCTTTGTATTAAACTTCATACAACAACCTGATGAACATTATTAGACGTTTCTTGAACTCTACTTCAGACGCCTGAGATTGTCAAATCTATCTCTTTCTCTCACTTTGCATTAAACTTCATACAACAACCTGATGAACATTATTAGACGTTTCTTGAAGCTTTTATCAACTTCTGACTCACCAGGTTTTCTATCGATAACTGGAAGCTTGTGATTTGTTTGAGAGTCTCACTGTCACGTTTCACTTCATTTACACATTGGGCCAGATCCTAAAGAAAAGGAAATGAAAACGGATAAATACAAGCGTGTTCCTCAAGTAAATCCTCACATATTGGACAGAAAGCTGGAGGTCGATGTCCACTCACCCTCATAGAATCCAGAGCTGTCCGAAGGTTCCCCTGTTCCGTTTTGTCAGTGGTGTGTTTCACCAACTCCTGTAGCGACACATCAGAGAGACATTGTTATCCCAGTGATGTCAATGTAAATGCTCCAATTCACAGAGCCCAGCCCAGCTTGGACATACATAGGATGTTCCTTCATCATCGCTGGGTCAAACCTCTGGAATTCCTTCCCTATCAACACTCAGGAGTGCCCTCACCACATGGACTGTATCAAGGAGGTGGCTCACCACTTCCATCTCCTGGGCAACTAGGGCTGAGCAATAAATTCTTGAGAAGCCCACTTACTGATAATTATTAAAAACAAGTCATTTTTCTGATGAAGGGTCTAGGCCCGAAACGTCAGCCTCTCTGCTCCTATGATGCTGCTTGGCCTGCTGTGTTCATCCAGTTCTACACCTTGTTGTCTCTCATTTTTCCCTCCCTGAATATTGGGACATCTTGGGATTCTTGATGTAGAACAGACAGCGGACATTGATCATTCTCTCATAATATTCTCTTCCAATCTCTCCCATCAGGCAGAAGATACAGCAGCTTGAACACACGCACCAACAGGTTCAAGAACAGCTTCTTCCCTGCCGTTATTAGACTGATGAATGGAGCTCTCTAATGTTAAATAAGGTTGACCTTGCTTTTGTGCAGTGTAACCTTGTATGCCTCACTCTGTCTAAGCGCCCCTTGATCTGTATGTCCTTGTTTGCTATGAGCTGCCTCGACTACTCGCAAAACAAAACTTTTCACTGTGCTTAGGTCCACGTGACAATAATAAATCAAATCAAATCTTCAGCTAATAAAGCAGAGATGATGCAAGCTTGCTCTACCAGAAGGCAGTTAGGCTCTTACAAGGCCCACGCATACCTATCTTATTGTAAAACTAATCAGGAGCAGGAAACCTGCTTGCTTTTTCTATTTCCTTTCAAGCTCAGAGGTGCTAATTACTCTAATCCTTCCAGTACATTGTCTGAGATCCAGCAAGTTGATACTGTGACCTTCCTGACACTTGTTAGCCTCAGTGGAAGAGAAATTGAAATTGCTCATCTCGTTACAATCTTGCTTTGTGCTCCTGGTAAAGGCCAATTTTAGCCCCCCTGATGTTCACAGACGATCGGAAGTTGGAGAATTAAGGAACAAAATTAGACCATTCTGCCCCTCGAGTTTGTTCCGCCATTTAGTAAGATGATGGCTGATCTGATTGTAACTTTAAATTGACTTTCCTGCCTGCCCCTTTCACTGCTTGAGTCCATCCACCTCTACCTTAAAAATATTCAAAGATGCTTCTACCATCTAGAGAGTTCCAAAGTCTCACAAACCTCCAGGAGAGAACATTTTGCCCAATCTCTGTTTGAAATGGGTGACCTTTTATTTTGAAACTGTGTCAGTTTTAAATTCTCCCAGACAAGGAAATATCGGCTTTACATCCATCCTGCTAAGACCCATCAGGTGAAGGCGAGAGAGACTGCTAACCAGCCAGAATTGTAGACCTCTGCAATATTGGCTCAGATGGGAAGTATTTTCACAATGGCCAGTAACTGAGAGGGATAATATTTCCAATGTTTCCTTGCAATTGTCTACCTGAAGCAGAAGGTGATACTTGAGGACTCTTTGCATGGGTACCATCAAGAGATCTCGTAGGGTGAATCGTCCGTTGTTCGCTCTGTTGGAACATTCCTGAGAAAAAAGAACAAGCAGCCTGAGAGGAATCTTACACTTTGTTTCTGCCCATTGAATAAGTAGGAGGTGGATTTATGAGAAGACTTTACAAAGTGAGTCTCATCATCAAGATGTATTCTTGACAGAACACAGTCTCATCAATGGGGCCCATTCTGGAAGCACAAAATCCCATCCAATCCCTTCTAACAGAGCAGTCTCCCCAGAGGACCCCCCTCCTAATCTTACCTCACCTTTAGGGAAGGAAACTGCCATCCTTACCTGGTCTGGCCTACATGTGATTCCAGACCCACAGCAATGTGTTTGACTCTCAACTGCCCTCTGGGCAATTAGGGATGGGGCAATAAATACTAATGTCCAAAGCCCATGAATGAATTTTAAAAAAGCAATCATTTTGTTTTCAACTATATAAAGCTTAATCTCCAAAAGATATCATTCACGGAATATCATGCTGCCCTCATTCAAATGCAATGAGTCCACCCTGCCTCTAAATGTAATTTGTGTTTAGTTCCAAGGATCAACATTTCTGTGGGTGGAGCAGAAGGGTACAGATAGGGGTCCTTACAGTTAAAGCTCAATATGATTGGCCATTCCCCACTTCCTGAAGGAGAGTCACATCAGACTCAAAACCTTAACACTGTTCTTCTCTCTGCACATGCTGCCAGACCCACTAAGTTTCTCCAGCACTTTCTGCTTTTGTTTCAGATCTCCAGCTTCCATAGTATTCTGCTTTCATTCCCTGTGTTGCGTTGAGGGAGGTGATACAAAGCCAGTTTAACATTAAAGGACAAACGAGAGGCCAATACTATTGTAAATTACAGCCGGACAACTTTCGAACCAGTCCTGGTTGTTGTGAACTTGCTTGCTATTGGGTTTCCCCAGTTTGTTGTTGGGTATGACTCAGTACCAAAGGCTGACGTTGGGTTCAGACACTAAGCCATTTGAGGAGCTGAGACACCAAACCCATCTAAGAAAGCACATAGGGTCATTCAGCTCAGAAAGAGGCCATTCAGCCTATCATTGTGCAAGCTCTTTGGTGGAGTTATCCAATTAGTTCCACTCCCTTCATGTATTTACCCATTTTTATACCATTGTGTATAAGTTTCATATATCTCAGAGGTTTCTAAGTGTGCTCCAGGATTACTTACAGGAGTTTTAACATATCTGTGCAATCAGAAAATGTTTGCACTCATGCTCACAGTTTAACCTCTGTTCAATGAAGCTCTGAGTCCACACCCAGGCTTAACCAATGAAGCACAGTTAGTCAGATCTGTAGTGATTATAATGAAGTCAGCCAGGTGGCCCCATAGAATATGAGTTCCCTGATTGGGGCTGTTAATCTGGTCCAATCACGGAGCCCTGGCTGACGGATATAAACAGGAGTGTCAGAGGTGTTGTTCCCTCTGAGAGCTCGCTCTGAAGAGGCTGTACCAGAGTCAGGACTTTCCACATGTAAATAAAGGATGACTTGGTGATGGGATACCGGCCTCTGTGGAGTTATTTCAAGATCAGTTACCAGACCCACGTGACCAAACACAGAACACAACTGAACGCCACATTTGCCTTTTTCCAAATTTTAACGTGTCTAATCCTCTCGCTGTGCACCCAAGTTGCTGATGTTAAAATTCTGGAAACTCACAAAGTATCAATCAGCACCCAAGCCAGGAAATGTCTGTGAGTGCATTTCAGTTACTGTGTAAAGGGTCCTACCTGCAGCTTCATCTGAACATCTTCCCTTATGCTCGCGATCTTGTCCAGGTGTTTGGTAGCTGCCTCTACCTGGCTACAGTATCGTCCATACAGCAACAACCTTTGGGTGACCACGAGAAAAGAGGGCCATTAGTGAGCATAGCAGACCCTGGTTGCTGTCAATCAGTGGCCATTTCCCTACATAAATCACAACTATCAGATGGAAGTAGAATCTGAATGAAGGAGCCACACGCCATTAAATTAATCTGTATTGTTTCTTCTTAAAATAAAAGAGACTATATTGGTTAAAGGAGCTTGATGCGTTGAATTTGGGTCCTGCTTATTGTACAATTCAACAGTAACTGCATTTAAAAATGACTTCATTGGTTATAAAGTGCTTTAGGACATCTTAATGTTGTGAAAGTTGATATATAAATTTAATCCTTTCTTTTTAAAACCTGGACAAGGAGGTTACAATCTCAAAACTGGTGAAAGGTGAACTTTACAGCAAATCAGGGTATCTTTTTGCAATGAGTAATCAATACCCAAGGACAGGTCAGCGCAGGCAAAAGCCCTGAACTCCTTAGGAGGTAGGTCATCTGGTGAGATTGTCGAGCCAGTTTAAAGGGATGAGTCACATTGGGCCAAAAATCTCTGCTTTATGTCTATCTTCTAGGCAAACAGTCTTGAAACCAGTTCAAGTAAAAATTACAACAGATCTCATTGTTCATGGTGATACTGACAAGGATCTCTGTCCACCCAGAATCGATTACCACACAATATAGCAACTTGAACCAAGCTTCTTCATCTCCAGGTGTCTGCTTACAGTGAGTCTGAACCACAGTGGAACAAGGAAATAGGTTCTGGATCCACCAGAGTGGGAACGGTAGCCTTGATGTTAGCTCCAATCCAATTGTGAAGCTGGCAGTCCAGCTATACGACTCTATAAGGTGTCTGAGTTGCTGTGGGACATTCACTGGCACGTTGCAGTTCAGAGCTATGGATGCTGATGGTTGAGGCTCCAATGTTCTTTCCATCACACAGCTGACCAGAAATCTCTCATTCTTACCAACATTCAATGGCATGTGTCAGAAGGATTTTGCAGATTGACACTCAAATGTTCTTGGCCACGTTATGAATACACCTTCCTTGGTCATCAAGAACTGAAGTGGGACTTGAATCAGGGTTAGGGCTTGGGTTCAATTTAGGGTCAGGGTTAGGGCCAGATTTAGGTTTAGAGTTAGGGTTAGGGTTAGGGTTAGGGTTAGGGTTTGGATTGGGTTAGGGTTAAGGTTAGGGTTAGGGTTAGGGTTAGGGTTAGGGTTAAGGTTTCTGGTTTGCAGGTTGGGACCTGCGACAGGGTTAGGGTTAGGGTTAGGGTTAGGGTTAAGGTTAGGATTGGGTTAGGGTTAGGGTTAGGGTTAGGGTTTCTGGTTTGGAGGCTGGGACCTTACCTACTTCACAATTGTCAGGAAGGGACTGAGTTATCTGATCGCAAAGAGCTCTTGTCTGGAGGTTTGGCTGCCCCAACCCTACCCACACAAAGACCAAGCACTGGGTCTTGTGAGAGTCCTCATGGTGACTAGGGACACTCAGTGAGGAATTTTGATCTAACCATTGTGTAAGCCAGAAGCTGGATATTGTAACCCAGGCTGGAAGAGGGCTTTACAGGTAGTAGGTTTTTTACCCGGAATTATATCTTAGCATCAATGAAAACACTTCAGGAAGTGAGGGCAGAAACAGAAGGGGAAAGTGAAACTATAACGTACTTTTTCATTGGAAGTGATCACATCTCTTTAATCCAATGGATTAATTGACAATTGACCAGGTAGACACTCACTCACCTTTTCTTGTAACTGTTGAAGATTTCATAGAGGTTCTGGGCATTGTTCATTTTAATCGAGATTTGGATTTCCTCCAATAAACTTCTATGCACATTTAATAGTTCCTGAGGAGAGAGGGTTATAAATTAATGATACTGCAGAGCTCTTATTATTCATGTCCACAATCAATAGATAAACAAGAGATATCAGAACACAGGGAGCCAGCTGCAGCTTCCCCGCAATGTTCAGGCATGTGCAGACAGTCACTGAGACTCTCAACATTTGATAACACAGGCTCAAAAGAGCAATTGTTCCACTGCTAGAGATTTGCTTCAGAGCCCTAATCCTGACCCTTATCCTATCTTTAATCCTAACCCTAATCCTGACCTTCATCCTAACACTAATCCTGACCTTCATCCTAAC